AAGGGCTCACGTAAGAAATAGCATTTAAACCAACCCTGCATCAGCAGTCAGGCAAGGAAGATAGAATTACTGTTTGGGAGAGTCCAGATAACACTGTTGACACACATTCATCTCGCGTAAACTAAAACCACTCCATCCCACACTGCACTGGGAGCAATGACACTTTAAGCGCTGGAGGACACTTTCTAAATGAACCCACAAAACAGCATCCAGAGAGACAGCAAAGCGCCATGGTCAGCAGCCCTCCCTTGCAAGAACTTCACCCAAATGTTACAGATGCTGTCACACTCGTAAATCATCCTCGGGTCAGTTTTGGTGATTTTGATTCTATGAAGTTAACTCTTTGCTCCTGTTTTCTTGGCCATTTGGATTACAGTTGGTCAGATCATAAAAAACATCCTTTCAAGATAAATAACCTATTTACTGAATTTATTACCAAATGATAAAAAGGGAGAGAGAAGAGAGAAAGCCTCTGGTGCCGTAAGACATCTCGTGATAGGTTAGAAAGGTGACTGACTGCAGAGAACAACAATAATAACACTTACAAGCACCTCTGGGAACATCGATTTTGCTAAGAAAGTCCCTGAAGGTTGCTCTTCTCAAGTGAACAGAGCTAGTCTCCTAGACCTTTGATGGTTCACACTCAACAGGGCAGTTGTGCAGATAAAATAAGTCAGAAAAGGAGGACCCTGAACGACAAAGTCACTTCATCTTTGTTGTTTCTAAACACATCAGCAACTAATTTGGTCCAAAACACAGCCCCACCTCTCCAGAGCAAACAATCATACAGCTGGAAAAATGAATACCGACAGAACATGGGGTCCCATGAGAGGCGCCAGGCAGTGCCAGGCAGAAGACAGGCTTGAGATGCCTTCCCAAGAACTGGAATTCCTAAAAAGCGGCCTTAAATTCACTTAAAAGACTGCTGTTGAATCCCACTTTCTCTACTTGCATGCCCTGTGATGTGGCAGAGAGACTTGACCTCCCTGCTTCCTGACAATGGGGTTATCATTTCTCATACACAGATTGGGCAACTACATGGTCCAGGCAGAGCCAAGCAACGGAGAGACCTACAGCGGATGGGCGTGTGAGGACGAGGCCAGACCACACCAAGGTGCCTGGTGCTTGACATATGCTCCATATATGCTGGGGCTTAGCAGCACCATGGAAACCTGCCATTCTCCTCTACAAATAAGGGGGCTTTCATGTTGAAAGCGCCCGAAGTGATGTTTTTGTGAACTAGTTTGTTTTGAAGAGAAAAAAATACTATGTGCTTATGCTTAAAAATTCAAAAGAATATAAAAGGATATACAGTAAGATACCTTCCTTTCTTAGACCCACAATCCTTTTGTCCCCAAAGATGGAAACAGTACCCCCCCAACCACCTTCCTTCTCGGTGTCTTTCCAGCAAGAGCCCATATATGACCAAGCACACGTCTGTGTGTGGGAAGGTATCTGTAAGCATTTACAGCTCCCTCTATTTTTTCACACTCAGGAGTATACCACATACACGTTTATGCATACTGTCTTTTTTAACTTAAAAAGGTAAGCTGGAGAGCAGTCCTTTTTAGTATATATGACCTACCATTTTAAACAGTGGCCCAGGACTCTACTCTAAGACTATACCATGTTTCAGTCAATCAACCCCCAACTGACATGCATTTCAACTGCTTCCAGGGTCTGGCCATTATAAACAATGCTACAATGAGCACACATCTGTACAGACATGTGTGACTACAGGGTAGATGGGATATATAAGACCAAGCCCTTAAAGTGGAATTGCAGGGCCAGAGGGTACATGCACTTGAAATGTCAGGGTGCCAGGCTGCCCTTCACAGACGTTGTATTCATCTTCACGGTCACCCATAATGCAGTAAGTTTTCCAAGTTCCCTACCCACATTCACAAAACTATTTAATATACGGAAAGAAAGGTGGACAGAGCTCCTCTGTTGCCCCACTGTCTCTTCCTGCCCACGTGCTACCACACATGACATTACCACTTCCTCAAAGTCCCACACATGGCTGCACAAGCCGGAGAGCAGCGTTGAAAAGAGAATGAACATCTGAGCCCCTGCGTGCTGCAGCCGGCTCATACCGGCTCACGCAGGCTCACTATACCCCTCTCCTCCCAACTCTGTGTTCAGTGACAGCATCTGCAGCTTCAAACGGGTCATGGTGCAAGTATTTGTTCCATAGAACTCAGCAAACAATGAAACAGGTCTTCTTTTTCTCCTCTAGAGAGAACTTTGTCAAGCACAGCAGGACACTGATGCACACATGACAGTAGAACTGAGGCTATGCCACCCTCCTTTGCAAGTTTTCACCCTCGATATGGTCACAAATTCTTGGAACCTAGGACTAGAGAAGATCTGAAGGGACATCTAATCATCATCTTTGAATAGTGCCTCTCCTCTAGGCCCTCTGCTTAGACATAAGCAGTGCTCTCTCGTTACGTCCTCCATGCCTCTTCATCATTCTTTCATGCTCACATCTCTTTGTCGCTTATTCCTGATTTTCCACAGTGTAGTAATTACCACAGACTCTAGGCTACACTAGACAGCCTGCGGTCAAATCGCAGCATGGGGGTCAAATAGGATGTCCTGTTAGGTCTGGGTTGGTGAAATATCACTATGGCGTGATTTTGTGTTTGGGCAGGCGAGTCGCCCGGTATTGGTCCAGTTTTATGTTAATTTCTCAGCTCGAGGGGTCTTATCTCTCATTGACAATAACCATATAGATTCCACAACCACATATGGTACAACCCCAGGTTTTTAAACTCTTGCTGGTGATGTTTTCCACTCAAGGCAAGCTTCCTCGCTGTTCCTCCAGACAGTGGAGTTTTTCTAGCCCCTTTTCGTGAAGACGTATAATGTTTAAATAAGCCTCCTAGGTACTCACTTCCACCTTGGGCCCAGTTTTCATTTCTAGACTCACTGCAGAATTGTAATCGCAACACCCCCAGCTCTATGGCTTATCCATAACCATTGGGCTTGGACTTCTCTCTTCATTTTTGACACTCATGGACTTCCCTTCCTGATGAGCTCCCTGGAATGTAATTCTTTACCTCAGTCAACTCTGCATTCACACTGGGAAGAACTCATCCAGGTCAGCACAGCCCATGATGTTGCCATCATGTTCCAAGTCACCAAATCTCAAGTCACCGCTTGCCCCATCAAGTTCTGTCCGCATTGCAATTGCACCTTACTCAAGGGTTAGCTTTTCAAGTCAGTGCGTAATGTGAAAATTGAAAGGAGTCAAAATTCTTCTTGAGAATCCCATAATAAGGTCTTCCATGGAGCTGGACACACTACCTCCCACTAAGTCCAACACAACCCGTTTTTCTTAAGCATCAGATTTGGTTTCTGGGGTGGAGCACCAGAAGAAATTGCTGGCTTGGATTTGGGGGCCGTGTTGTATGATAATTAAAATCTATAAATATGAGAAACACGCTCGATGGCCCAAGATGCTCACAGTGTACGGAGCCATAGGAAGAAAGACCGACAGAAGGAACAGCAGATCTGTGTCTCTCTTTCACACTCGCTCTAAGAGAGACACCAGTTGGGTGGAATGACAGGATCACCCACACTGTTGAAAGTGTTATTTTTAACCCCACTGTGTTTTGTTTTTGTTGAGCAAGTATATTTGGGTCTGAGTAAGTTAGAAGCAGGCATCTTTGACATGATAGAGATAGGACTTCCGTAAGTCTAAATAGGACTGGCTCAGGGGGCAGGTCTAGCTCAAAGGGGCGCAAGGGGACTTGCTGAAGTGATGGGAAAATTGCGTCCCCTGTTCTGGGTGGGGACAAGATGGGTGTCACATGTTACAAATTCGTCAAGCTGTATGATTAATATGATTTGTGCATATTCCAGTGTGATACACCTCAATTAAAATAAAAGTTGAAAGCATGCCTGAGAGACTGCTGCTATAACATTCATCAATTGATCCCCCTTCTATGGCTAAACCTGTCCAGAGGCTAGTCAGTCCCATGGAGGGTCGTGAGGAGACCAAGAAATCTAGGAAAAGAGGGGGCAGAAAAGGGAAGCACCTTGTTGCGCACAGAGAGCACCCAGGCTCGCGGAGTTGGTTTGCCATGAGCAGCCTTGCAGGAGTGACATGTTTACAGTAGCTAAGATCACTGGCTCTCCAGACAGTCTGCCTGGACGTGAGTACTGCTTCTATCCCTGCCATGGGCTGTCTGTGTTCCAGCAAAATTCACATGTTGAAACAACCCCCAATGTGATGGGGTGAGGAGGTGGGAATTTTGGGAGGTGATTAGGTCACGAAGGTGGAGCCATTATAAATGGGATTACTGCCCGTATCAAGGAGACCCCAGAGAGCTACCCCAGCCCCTCCGCCATGTGAGGTTATAGAAAAAAGATGGCCATCTATGAACGAGGAAGTGAGCCTTCACCAGACACCAAATCTGCCAGCACCTTGATACTTGGACTTGTCCGCCTCTACAACTGGGAGAATTAAATTTCCGTTGTTTCTAGGGCCTCCAGTTCATGGTCTGCTGTTACAGCGGCTGGAATGGATTAAGGCAACCACCTACTAGTGGAGCAAACTTGGGCAAGTTACTTCTCTTTCTTTAAACCTCAACTTTCTAGGGCTGTTGCGAAGTCTAAACGAGATAACTCAGACAAGACTCTTAGCACAAGGTCTGCTCTACAGTGGTGCTCAATAAATGTTAGCTGTTATTATGACTGATGATAGGAGCCAGGGGGTGTCTTCTTCCCTCCGAAGTTATATATAGTTCTTACTGAAATTAATCATTTGACCTGAGAACTTTTTCGGTGCTCAATAAATACTTGTGGAGTGAATGAAAGAATGCATGTGGGTTCAGATTTCAACAGAGGCAGAAGGTTCTCATTTCAATAAACTGAAATCTATGTCCTGGCCCAGAATCACCATCCACTTTCATTTTTCTTCATAGTGAAGTGGTTCAGAGCACAGGGGCAGGTATCGGACGGCCATGGTCGAGTAAGGCTCTGTTACTTACCAACTCTGTAACCTTGAACGAATGACTCAAACCCCAGGCCTTAGTTTCTTCTCCTGCAAAACAGAGTCATAGCAAGGATTAAGCAAGTAGCAGCAGACCTCAGCACACAATAAACCCCCAATCCATCCGAGCCACCGTTATTTTTCCCTATACCAAAGACGTGGCCTTGAAATACCGATGCCGAATTCCAACACTTGGGGCCACGGGAGTGCACAGAGCATGTTTCTTCCCATTTTCCTCATTTAATATTTAGTCTTATGTATTACAAATAAAGAAATGGAGATTCAGCCCTGGCTGGTGTGGCTCAGTGGATTGAGTGCCAGCCGGCAAATCAAAGTGTCACCAGTTTCATCCCCAGCCAGGGCACATGCTTGGGTTGCGGGCTGGGTCCCCAGTGGGGGGCGCACGAAAGGTAACCACACATTGATATTTCTCTCCCTCTCTTTCTCCCTCCCTTCCTCTCTCTCTAAAAATGAGTACATAAAAAAATTAAAAAAGAAATGAGACTCAGAGAAGTTCAGTAACTTGTTGAAAGTTGCACAGTAGGTGGAGAGCAACCAAACCAAACTCCTGTGGCTGAGGGGCAGTTTGGCTGGACTGCCCAACAGTGCAGGGAACAGAGGGTGGGGCCAGAACTCCCCCATCAAGGAGGCAGGAACCCCGGGCTGCAGCAGCAAGCCTTGGTCCCAGCAAAATGCTCGGCTCAGCTTGACTTTGAACTGGTGTTAGTCATTCTGCCCCCTGAATCACTTCCTGTTTTAGGTTTCTACGCTGGGGAGAAAGAAAAGCAGGCATGTCTATTACACCACCCTTGGCACACTCCAATCTCACAGGGAGATTTTGACAAAAACTTATGAATCTAAGGGAGCTTTCATAAAAAACCGCAACCGACATCCCATTCAAACACATTCACCAGCATTTCATGTGAAGACGGGAGCAAGGTCACAGAGTCTAGACACTCTTACTATTGTGACGAAGAGAAAGAGAGTGCCTTTGGCCGGCCTTTCTGTTGATTACATCTTTAGCTGCCTTTGTGTTTTCTCTTTGCTTTTCATCGGGTGCTGAAACTACCGGAAGCCACTTAACCTGCCTCATTTTATTCACGAAAGATCTGGGGCCTTGTCTGTGTGACTGCCCTGGAAGAACACTATGGGCTGGTCCTTTCAGCCACTTCTACTGCTTTTGCTGGCACTGCTTTGTTCTCAGGTTTTCTTTTCCTTGTCCTCCTTGTATGAGTGTGGTTTGAAATTTCCATTTAAATATCATCACAGAACTGCTCAGCGGCCAGAGAAAGAGGGGATTTAATTTAAGAACCAGCGAAGCATACTCGCTAGCTGTGTGCGTGTCCTCAAACGTGTGCAATATGCCCTGCACCCTGCATGGGTATGCGTATACATATCGCACATGTGCACCTACCACCCACATGAGCAAACACACAGATGCCCAGAACCATGATTACAGTTCTCCTGTGTCCTCCCATAAAGGATTTTTTCCTTTCCTTCTGATTCTTTGACCACACTTACCAAATTGAAAATGGGGAGAAGTTGTTCTCTTGGGAGAAATGTTAGGGCCTTGGGCAAATGCTAGAAATGACAAAAAGTGCACCAGCTCACTCTTACAAAACTGTGGGGGTTTTTTTGTTTGTTTGTTTGTTTTAAGAACATGAAGAGCCCTGGCTGGTGTGGCTCAGCTGGTAGGAGCATGGTCCCTTAGACCAAAGGGTCGCAGGTTTGATTTCTAGTCAGGGCACATGCCCAGATTGCAGGTTCATTCCCTGGTCAAGGTACATAGGAAAAGGAACCAACTGATGTTCTTTCTCACATTGATGTCTCCCTCTCTCTGTCTCTCTCTCTCTCCTTCCTCTCTCTCTAAAAGCAATAAAAAAGTGTCCTCAAGTGAGGAGAAAAAAAAAAAAAAAGGAAGACAGAACACAAAGAGTAAGCTGGTCATTGCATCACTTAGAGGTAAACTCATGAGACAGTAGGTAGCTCCCGTAGAAGGAAAGTGGTCATCTTCAACCAGAGGCGACTTTTCCTCACCTCCACAATATGGGCAGAGAGACCCTAGACTGTGGCTCTAGAAACTGGATCTGACCTTGTCTCCTCTTTAGACTCACAACAGGGGCTTCAGCCCCTGCTCAGTCTCTCAGAGCGCTGTGACTTTGGGCACGTTAACCTCTCTGAGCTCCTGCAGGCCCTGCCGGCAAATGAAGATACTTATTCAATGACGACAGTCCTGCTTGGTGTGGCTCAAGGGATTGAGTGCTGGCCTGTGAACTGAAAGGCCACTGGTTCAATTCCCAGCCAGGGCACATGCCTAGGTTGTGGGCCAGGTCCCCAGTTGGGTACAAGAGGCAACCAACTGATATATCTCTCACACATCAATATTTCTCTCCCTCTCTTTGTCCATCCCTTCCCCTCTCACTAAAAATAAATAAAATTTTTTAAAAAAATGATCTATGGAGCACTTATGATGTGCCAAGCATGTGGCCATGGAGAATTCCAGAAATTAAATCGTCCAAGCCACCCAGGAGCTCCCATGGATCAGTGGGGCAATTACAGGCAGACAAGCAATTACGGCGGAGGATGAAAAAGTGATACAACCGGGGTGAGTGCAGGTGTCGGGCGGTCACAGAAAAGGGTATTTAATTACTCAGCAGGGAATGCAAAGTAATGGGTGTAAGGCTTCCCCAGGGAGGTGATATCTAAGCTGAGAACTAAAAGACAAGTTAGAATTTGCCCAGCCCAGGCAGAAGGGAATCTAAGCAGAACTGCAAAGGCCCACAGGCTAAATTACTGGTTCACGTGGTCAAGTACAAGAACTGGGAAGAAAGTCAGAGGATAGGTAGAGAAACGAACACATAGGGAGGTAGGCCTGCCAGGGTCACCCGCCTGGCGTTGGTGACCTCCTGAGGTCCCTCCCAGCCCTAAGGGCTCATCCTGCAATCTTCTGAGGGCCCAGAACCCCCTCTTCCCCTGACAACGCTTTCGCCCGCATGCCGAAGTCCCTGGGTCCACTCCAGGGCACGAAGGGAGCCCCACCCAGCCCACGTGGGCCCTCCTCCTTCTTCTTTCTTTTCCCCTCAGGAGTGACTGGGCAGTGACTCAAGGAGGGAGCTTATATTTTTTCTAAAAAAAAAAAAAAGTACCCAGGGCTCACATACTCAATCAGTCTTCTGACGGGACTGCCAACCCTCTCCAACCCAGCCCCTGACCTAGCTGAAGAAACGCTGGAATTATCTGTGTCCTCATCTCCTCCACGACATTAAGCTCCCTGAGGGCTGATACTGTGCTTTGGCCATCCTGGTGCCCCCAGCACCTGGTACTATGCCCGACACACAGTAGGTCCTCAAGAATGCTTGCAGAATCGAATTGCTTTCTTCACTCTGCAAATGAACACTCACCTGGAGACCCCTCCCCCACCACCAACTCCCGCCAGACAGCAACTCCATCTGAGGCCAGGGCAGGAGGCCCAGACACCCAGAGACCTACCAACTCGACAGTCCTCCCAGTGCTCTCTAGGAGTCACAGGAGCTTCATGTCACTGAAAACAGACAATCCCCTCATTACATTGTACTGGTGGAGACTCCAAAGTCTAAAGGAATGATGTGACTTGCCCAAGCCTCTCAGCAAACACGATATAATGTATTTATTTATTATTGATTGATTGATTTTAGAGAGGCAGGAAGGGGGGAGTTGTTCCACTCATTTATGTATTCATTGGCTGATGTTTGTATGTGCCCTGACCGGGCATCAAACCTGCATCAGAACGATGCTCTAACCAACCAAGCTACCTGGCCAGGACCAATATAATGTTTTTAAAAGAGCATATTCTTTAACAGAAGGTTCTCTGGCCACCCTTACCAGAAAGGTTGCTTTTTTTTTAAAAAAAGATTTTAATTTATTTAATTTTAGACAGAGGGAAAGGGAGGGAGAAAAACATTGGTGTGCAAGAAAAACATCGATTGGGCACGCCCCCAACAACCCAGGCATGTGCCCTGACTGGGAATCAAACCAGCGAACTTTTTGGCTTACAGGACAATGCCCAACCCACTGAGCCACTCCAGCCAAGGCAAAACGTTGCTTATTTTAAGGGAAAATGCTTCATGTGGGCACGTCAGCTGGCTGCCTTCCTTCACCTGACCACCAGCCACACCACAGCGTCACAGCTCCTGGGACTTCCTAGGCAGGACCAAAATTTACCACTGACGCAAACCTTTTTGTGAAGATGATCAGAAATTCTTTTAGGGACTGAATATGTTTTTGATTATGGACCATTTTTTAGGTTAATTTTCTGTTGTGTGATCTAAGGCCCTAACAATTTTTCAAAGAAACGTTGAGCTCCCCAAACCATTTAATTCCTTCATTTTTTTTAATGTTTGGATATAAAACAACTTTAGTATGACATCAGAGACAATTTTTAAAGAACCCCTTTCAACCTATAACCCCTCCACCCAAAGAATTCCTCATCATTCCCTGTGTCTTATTGCACTTTTATTCACAGATCTGTATTCCGTGTGTATGTATGTATTTCATTAAAAGGAACAACCTCTAGAATAGATAGTCTTTTTTTCTGGAGGGAAAAAAACCCTACTTACAATGCAAGTCACTGACATGTTTCTGATAAATATCACAGCAAAACCCAGGCGACAAATTAAGTGCACCTGGAAATTCCAGGCCTGAGACACTTAGCACAACATTTTCTAGCCTGCTTCATTCTGTAATTCTTCTGACACTTCCCACATCCCATTTAATAGGAAACAGGCCAAGGGAAGCAGGTGTTTTACTCATTGCACCTGGCCTAGCAAAGTCCCTCCTGAAGTTTGCCATAGTTGCGTATTGCTGAGGAGTTCAGCTCAACATTTTTCTGTAAGTGAAATAACATCTCAAATAGTCTAACGCAGCGCTTCTCGCTTGGCTTAACCGGAGTTCACGGAGGAGGGAGGGAGGGTGTTAAAGGCGCTGCTGCTGGGCGCCAACCCTGCGCAATTTAATAGACTCTCTGAGGATGGAACCCCAGCACCAGAGCTGTCAGCGGTCCCACGGTCACTGTA